ACTCGAGCGCTACGATTACTTCACGGATAGTATTCGAGAACGTTTCGATTTCACCCGCTCATATCGCATAATAACGATCTTGATGCAATGCAATCTCGAGGATAGTAGAACTCGCTTGAAAAAAGGCACCGACGGAAAGTAAATAGGTAAAAGGAAAAATAAAAGGCAAACACGAAAGAAAATAATTTCTTCTTCAAGAAAGTTACGCGGTTTACAAGTTTCCTTGATGCATCATTAAATGCCAACGTTTCATAAACATTGCGGTTTACTTCATCAGGGTGAGAAGCAGTTCTCCGATGAAGTGAACTGTAGTGTTCACGTTGGCATTTAATGATATATATAATATTAAGATACGGAAATAAACTTTCTTGAAGAAAACATCCGTGGAAGCCTCAAAAGTATTAACAATAATTTCTTCTATTATCTACATCGAGGAAAATGATTTATTATATTAATTAGAACTCTGGTTGAGAAAATGGATGTGAATCAAAATTTCCTAGTTACATCTTACAATTAATATAATAGAATTCTGATTATGATATAATCAGAATTCTGAATGTAATACAATCAAAATTTTCCGGTTTGTCTATTTTCAAACACTTTTCTCAGTGTATTATAACAAACATCGTACTGGATGACAATTCGACAATAATATTGACATATTGATAAATACTGCCGATGAAACAATCGTGTAACAAAAGTGTGTTCTTTCAACTGTGAGAAACTGGGTTGCATAATTAAAGCATAGTTTAGAAATGAGAATGAGGCATGCGACTTTAATTACGAAATAAACTCGTCTATCAAATTTAATTACCAAATAAACTTGTTTGTTTAAAAAAATATATATAAAATGCAGAAAATTAATAGGCGTCAAGAATTTCTATTATTATACTCGAGCTGTACACTGCTAAAATTTTTTTGATTAATTATTCTTTGATAGCTCGTCTTGATTGCATGATACGTTGTGGCGAACGCTATAACCACGTCGATTGTATCGCAAGCTGCTGCTCGAGCTCAGCGATACGTAAATATCGCATCCTTTTTGACGCGAATGTTTACTGTGGCGGAAATATTCGTAGTTCCGGTGCTTAATCATAGCTAAAAGTAGCCATTAATAATCAACGCGTACACTGTAAAGCCGTGTCTAAAATATAAAAGATTTAAGTTTGCGTAACTAGGTTATTTTATCAATGCATTTAGTAAATAGTGCCTATTTATGCAAATAATATACTATATGCAACAATATATCACTATTATATAAATGAATATTGCCTTAGTTCATAAATGATTTGCTAAGCAACATAATAATTGATTGCGTGCAGCATTGAATAATAAAAAAGTAATGTTTATACATATTATATTTCCAATGCTAAATCGAGAACTGTTAATTACATTGTCAACAGTCACATAAATTATCATATAATTCCAATGTTATTTTCTTTATTTAAAATAATATGTATACCACATCCTGAGATAAACGTATCTAAAAAATATCACTGCATTTCAAGTACTATTTGTACAAATTTGAAACAGAAAGACAATTCGCTAATAATTTAACACTCCAAAGCTGATATCACATTTTAATTCGTTCTCCATCGTCCATCGTTATTCCTAATTTTGCTGAAAAAATATTGCTTTATGAAAATTGCCAATACCATCGATTTCCAGCGAATAATTCACGACAGGAAGCAACCGCGTTCTCGCATCCAGACAGAAGCAATAAACAAAACGATACGCAAAATGTTTATTTATACGCGAGCCAGCCCCTGCGTGCGAAATTAGCAGCCGGCAATTACGCGGTACAGATCGACTCGCTGTAAAATTCGTATTCTGTATTCATGAAACGAGCGCTTCTGCAAACACATACCCACGCACGCACACACATACATACATCCACCCACGAACGAAATTGCAAACTTTAATCGCCATGCTGTGAGTTCCGTACAAATGCACGTTTACTCTGTGCGAGCAAAAGAGCGGCAGATGTCAATGATAACGCCGGACGTACCATTCACGACACACCAACGCGCGGCGCAGTTTCCGGAGTAGATACTTTCGGATTTTTACATCTTGCCCGTGTCCCGATTACAGTTTGCTGCGTGGAAGTAAAATGCACGGAGTCTGGACGCGAGAATACGCGTGTCACTCCGTTACTCCAATTTGAAGAAATTTCCAATTACGTCCGCTGAACGATAATTGATCCTTTAATCTTTAAATTCGTCGCTTCACTCAAACGTGAAAAATTGTAAAGGGAATTTAATTTGTGTAGCTTCCGCACGCGAATTTCAATGAACAGATTTTTATTTCTACTTTAAAAACAATTTTTTATTAAATCATTTTAATCATACATGAAAAAATAATTTAATAAAAAATAACTTATAATGCAAACGTATAACTATACTTTTATATAATATTTATAACATTTTCAGAAATAAAGCGTTAAAATTATTATTAATCAAAACAAAATTGGTAATTTGATTAAAAATAAATAGTTAGATTATTGTAGTTAATAAATAAATAGTAAGGAAAAAGACTAAAAAGTCTTAGTATATATAATTCCTTTAAATATAAATTATTTTTCAAATCGCGATGACACAGTATACTAAATTTTTCATAAATGTATTCACAAAGAAAACTTAATATTCTTAATTTATATTAACAATAAATTAATGTACATTATCGTGTCATGTTTATTACGATCCTTTTCGAAAGTGAGAAGAATATACTGTCACTTTTCGCAAACGTAACGTAACGATGTAAACTCACGAATGTTTTTAAATCTCAATATCAAAGAAAATAAAGAGAGATACATAAAAATCATACGCGTTGCAATCAATTAAGAAGCATATTCATGCACTAATGCACTTCTCTTTGTGCTGTGTGAGCTCACGTTAATTCGATTAAGAGGAAGGAGCGTACGAAAGCATTTGACAAAAAAGGCGGGCGGTCTAAATTACCGATAAAAGGGTTAAACAATGACGTCAAATAATGCAAATGATGTCACAGCGGCGACGGCGGGGACGCGATTGAAGGGGGGTAAGCGAGACAGCTCGACGACGGGATCAAATGACAGCGAAAGATACACACACACAAACACACACACACCACACGTACACATGACACGCGATCACGACGACGCGTCGCTACCGACTGACGGCGGAAGCGGAGGAAAGGCTGCTCGATTGGCGACGCGATCGCACGCGCGACTCGTCGAACCCGCGAAATCGCTGCCGGCCAATCGGAGCTCGTACCTGGCGACCCGACGAGCCCGCGGGCAGGGCCGTAAATTAAACGGCGCCAATGAACAAACATGTATTTTATAACAAAGAGCTCGCACGCGTACACTATCGTAGTTTACGCACGTCACATAGTTAAAAGGATTTACATATTGATGATCCAGTTGGCAATTACCTCTTTTCTCTCTCAATTATGAAAAATTTAAAAGGTTCGTTTATGTACTATACTATGAGAATAACAGGATCTTTGTTTAGGGGTAAGATACGTAGATCCTTTGAATTCTGCATTTGCATGCTTTTACATCTCGCACGATATATTACCAGTGCACTTTTATACCGTAATGTATGATATAAAAGTGTATACTGGTATACTACATAATATCTAGCTCGTATAAGAACGAATGAAATATTGCAAAAGCAATTTGTTGAAGAATTCTCCATGAGGGATCGCCTCTCTCGCGATCGCGTATAATGACATTGAAAAGATTAATCCGAAAGATTATCAAGATTCATCTCCACGTGAAAGACAATCGACACATTTACAGATCTCGTATGCGCGTCTCCGAAATGAAGTGCCGTGACGATTCAAGCTGAAAGATAACTACGCCCGTTATCTACGTGGCGGATATAGGTATGTGAGATCTCACCGGAGATCGTTTCCAGATAATGGAGACGTGATACCGGAGATTGTTGTTAGATAATAGAAATGTGACGCCGGGGTGGTTAACTCGCCACTGCCCGGACAACCACCGTCCTCCGCCGCCACCCCGGTCTATTGATCGCTCACGAACGACCAAGAAGGCGCGAGACCAGCTGCGCCACTCGCGCGCCGGCGAACTCCCGCGAGAAGGCGAGACCGAAAGCGGCGTCGCGACGCCGCGACACCGGCGTGCGAGTCTCGTCTCCGTCGGAGTCATCTTAACCCTTTTGGGACATCTGTCATGTAATTCGGCGTGAGATATCTTTTGAAAATATCTCGCACTTTTCGACACCTGTTTCGAGCATAAGTTTCCCCGAAGGATTCCACAAGTGTATATTACAGAAAGATATTCTATTGCTAAGAAAAAGTGATCACTCAATTTACTTTTGAGTAACGATTATCTTTAACGAAGAATATTTTCGATAATATTAAAATATACTTATTACAAATTTTAAAAAAACATTCATTATTATATATGTTTAAAACAAGAACTTATTTTCTTTTAAAGAATATTATAAAACCGATCGAAGAAAGACGGACTTCGTATAATAAGCAGTTTGTTTTAATTTAATAATCTATTTTGAATACATTTGATGCTTGTGATGGACTTTCATAATAAATTTGCGGAATATGAATTTTTGAAATACTTAAAATAAATAATTACTTTGCGTATGCAGTATGTAATTTTCTGTGTACATCTTTTGTGAAATCTCAAAATTGTGTAAAGAATCGTTATTTCTCAATTCTTTTACAAGCTTAAATTCAATAGACTAAAACGATCTGTAAAACATAACTTGATGCTGGAAGACAAAATATAACATAAGAGAAACAATTTTAACAAAGCGTCACTCTTTAGGAATTTTTTTTATTTAAACTTTTATACAGCAATTTCAAACTTACTTCCGTAATAATTTCAAATAAATAAATATCAAATCGTAAGTAATGAATGAACTGCAATCACTTTACACAACCAAGGATCTTACTTCAATTAAAATTTAATATTTCACATGTAATACTTCTCTCTCTCTCTCTCTCTCTCTCTCTCTCTCTCTCTCTCTCTCTCTCTCTCTCTCTCTCTTTTTCGCTGTAGCGACAAGAAACGATTAAAAATTAAAACGACCGCCGCGTGTCGAGCAGACCAGCCGTCATATTCGTCTCACCGCTATTTTCAGCTGCCACTAGCAGGACCAAGTTATTCCCACGCTTCTACTAATTGCCCGCCTTCTTGGGTATTGCATTCGGATCTTCGACTTCATAACCATGCGGCGGTATTGGGTTTTTCACGGGATTATGGAAGAACGAGTGATTGCCATCGCCCCAAGGAAATGGCTGTTGAAAGAGAAAAGGAAGCTATAAATGCAGATCTCTCAGCATTTTACACATCCAATATTTAGAAAATTTTTTAAGTAGATTCGATTAAGATTAATCTACTATCTATTGCGTGAAGAGATGCTTCTGCGAGAGATGAGCAATCATCAATTTTACAGTTTCTTGATTTCTAGGTAAATAAACAAATAATTTTGTCTCGAGTCTTTAAAAAAGATGCACGCCATTAAAAGAGATGTAATAAAACTGAAATATGATTCTGTTTGAATCCAAAAATTCAGGAAAAAATGAAATTTTCCTTAATTGTTCTTTCTTTTGCGAATTTTACGAGATACCACTGAAAACAGAATCAGATTGCTTTTAATTTGTTGTCTGTCAATTGGAATTCTGGTTGAAAATGGACAAATTAAAATTTTGTAATTAAATCTATGATATAATTCCAGTTCAGGTAATCAGAATTCCAATTGACATAGTCAATATTTTATGATTCGTTTATTTTCAACCAGAAATTTTTTTTAACGGAGGAAAAATTATAGTGAAATTTATTGTATAGGCAAACTAGAATAAGGTCAGTAGAATCGTGGGTCTTCGTTAGTCGATAACACTGTCCCCCAACACAATTTTTTGTAACACGAATGCAAGTCATTTTCGACGAATCTTTGCCTTCTGGATATAAATTTATTGATAAAACTTAACTAGCGCTTCAAAATGTTGAGAAAAGTGGCGTCAAAAAGGTAAAAAATAATAGTTTTGAGAATTTTCATGACGTTGTAGCATTGGTATCAAATTTTTTTCTAAATTTTATTAATACCAAGCAAAAGAATTAATTTTTAACTTTAACCCTTGTGTACACAACCAACTTTTTACCATTAAAGTTAACGTTATTAATCCCTTCCTTACAAAAAAAATTCTTAAAAATTTTTAACTGCACCATTTGCTAAAAATTGAGTTAAATAACGACGATCCGGACGTCCCAAGCGAAATTTTAATTTTCAATCCACTATATGCAAACCGTGTACTTACATGTACCGTGGTGAGTACCCGGGTACTCGGTTGTGTACACAAGGGTTAAAATGCATTTTAATTTATTTCGATGTGATTTTTCATTTCCAAAATAAAACAATTTAAAAAATAGTTCTTTTCTTGTATAATACATGTATCTACTGCATATATACATATATGTCTCGAAAACGAAAAATCATATCGAGACGAATTTAATATTAAAAGTTGATATTTTTTCGTGACATTAATAAAATTTAGAAAAAAGTAGTACCAATGTGTGCGTGCGTGTGTGTTACAACGCGCGTCATGAAACTCTTAAATTGATATTTTTTATTTTTGTTTTTTAACCCCATTTTTCTCAAAACTGTGACTAGTCAAATTTTGTTAATGAATTCGTATTCGACAAGTTAGAAATGACTATTGACATTTATGTTGCAAAAAAAAGGTAAAATTTTGTCGGACAGTATAACTGAAACCACAAAAAAAATAAGTTTATATAGCTGTTAAAGATATATAATACTACCTACGGCGATAAGTTATGATTAAAAAAGGACTTAAATTCCAAAATACAATTATCATCTTACAAAATTGAAAAAAATATGGATACAAATTTTTTAGACAGTTGTATTGAATATTTGAAGAATAATATTTTCAAAGTAGAGGTTGATCAAATTTGCTTTCATTGTGAATCAAAAGTAAAAAAGCAAATTATATATATATTTTATGTTCATCTTTATGTTTAATTAATTTAATTGGTAATATAAATTCTATGAAAACAGTGCCATCTTGTGATATCATGTAATTTAATGACACATTAATTATACGTCACATTCATCTTCATTTAATCAACTTAATTGAATGCAATAATAAATTTTGTGAGCAATCTGCAATACAATCACTCTGCAATTAATCTACAATGATTTTATAAATTTATATACAAAATACAACTGCTTGGATTTTTATCAATGATTAAACTTTCGTTGATGAAGAAAAAGAGAGAGAGAGAATCAACCTTAAAATTTGTCATAATCATAAAACTGTACGAAATCCACACGAGAATATAAGTTTGCGCAACCGGATAGTAACAGTAGAAAGATTTCTTAAGTCTTATTTCTCTTGACACTTTTAACAAATGGGGCCAACCAGAACCTTAGTCCGACGATACATGTACGGGAGATCCTCGAACGGTTCCCTCGGCTGCTTCGCTTTTTCTTGCTGCCGTGCATAAGTAAACGCTGACATAATCACGACGAGTGGTAATGCAACGCATAGGGTTAGCATACGCCAAAACAAGAGCTTACGTGGATCTGCGCACACAATCGATCATATTGTTATTTACATGCGATTGTTAATAATGCATATCGCTAGGAATTCCACGCCGAAATTAAATTGCATTGCACTCGACATCTCTCTTAATGATAAATTCAATTTGTACCAAATTCTCAATCCATAAAATATTTCTCCTGATGAACGTGTAATATCGAAATAAAGAACGGAATATTAAAATAAAGCAAATTTAATTTGATTTCAAATTATTACTGATAATATTAATTAAGTATATTCAAATTTTGTTTTAATCTGCAGGAAAAATCGAGAAAAATACAAATTTGATTAAAGTATAATATTCAATAACTGTTTCCTTCTACATCATATATTATATTTAATTTATGTATTAAAAAAAAAACAATTAAATTATCTTTCATATATTTATACACGTAATAAAACGAAATGTGTACCAAATAGTTTAAACTCAAAGATTTATTTTCTAGAGCAACACATTTTGTCCTTTTGCATTTTTCTGTACATGAAAAAAATGGTTTTACTGAAGTATCTAAAAAAATTTAGCTAGATACAGATCTGAAAGGAATTTTATCTGAAGCATCAAAATAATTATGAGACACTCAAACTCTAATCGCTGGAATATTAAAACTTCTTGCAGCATTAACGCACAATTATTTCGATGGCAACAAAATTATTTTCAGACATAGCTTAAATATTTAAACACTTCAGCGAAATCATTTTTTTTCCATATATATAGCTTCCCATTTGTTGCGATCATCGTTCGCATTTCTAATTTCAAGTCATCTAAATCTCGGCGCCGCAGAATTCCTAGTGCGCCAAGTTGTAAATTTATCGGGAAAGTTCGAGAGATACGCGTGGAGGAATTTCCAACGTTACCGGCGTGCGTGTAAAAAGGTGATGCCCGGGAGCGAGGAGGACGACACGATGGTCTCCACGGCGGAGGGCACGGTGGGCAGGGAGGCTCGCAGTAAGGATCATCATCCATCGGCGAGGAGCACGGATCCGTTTCTGGCATGGTTCGCGAATCGCAGCCTTTCGATCTCTCGAACATGTCGAGCTTTCGTCGGAAATATCGGGAAGTTAGGCACCGTAAATCGGACGGTCTCCAAATACGAACGAACGACATCGTTCAACGGATGTTACGCGTCTCGTGTGTATCGCCTTACGTATCCTCTTGGCTGCGTATTCGGATTCTCTCAAGGGAAATTCGAGATGAAAGGCGCAATCGAGACCTAAGGATCTTTAACCATAGGAAGATTTTTTCGTTTGAAGTTACCGTCATGATTATTTTGCGATAGTCGATTGACTTGCATAGTTTAGGAGCATAAAAGTGGCTGCATTCAGCTGTTCAGTAGAACGTTTATTTGCAACTGTCGAAAATTTTCTTCGCGCTGATTGGATTATACTTTTAGATCTACTAAGAGAAACGGCCCTATCTCAGCAAACAATCATAAAACGGTTGCAAAACTGTTATGTCTTGCTGAACGCAGCCATTGAGTAGTGAATTTACTGAAAATCCAATATGAACCATGTACGAATCATAAACGTAATCAAAAATAAGATAGGTATAGGTAATACAATATTTCCGTGAATTGATTGTTCTAATATGATATTAAGTCTGTCGCGTTACTTATATATATTATATATAAAGTACCCAAAAATGTTTGCACTTAAAATGAGATAAATATATATTCCGACGTCGAAAAGAGAGAAAGCGAAGAGATTACAGAAGTACAAAAAGTTCTTCTAAAATACAAAAAGTACAATTAACAGACCTATTATTTTCTTCTATCACGAAGTCTGTTCGCGTTGTTTGTACTTTTTGTACTCAGCATTTTCGCTTTCTCTTTCTTCAATGTCCGAATCATTTATCTTCTTTAAGAAGAAAAATTTTTGAAGATTTCCAACAACACAAACAGACTTATGGACGTAATAAGAATAAACTGCGCATTCCTATATGAAATTGTCGCTATCAGTTTAGAAAGAGTGAGGTAGATTGAATTCTTTTTCTTTCTCTCTAAAGTATCGAGTTGAAAGGAGATGTTGTTATGTTCAATTACTTCTAACGGAGCAGAAAGATGCTAAAAGATCAGGGAATGCGCAGTTTATCCTTATTAGGTACGAATGAATAACTAATGCCCGCTCCACACACCAAGATAGATTAATTTTTAATCTCAGTTTAACTTATTCCTTATTTTTTGCTATAGTTCGTGGAAAGAATAGATTGAAGATAAAAGTTAATCTACTTACATTGGTGGAAACGAGTATAACTAAAAAATCCTGAATATTTTTTTATACGTAAGAACGAAAATTTTAAATATAAAGTCTATGAAAAATAGGAAATAAACTTGGATTTGTGGTATTCTCGGATTGGGTAATATAACACCCGACATTGCTTGCGAAACCCTAAAAGCAACGGCTCGATACTCTTTGTTGCGGCAACGCCTAACGAGACGTCGAAGAAAATGTGTTCGTTTAATCCCTCCGGAAGATGAGATTAATGGAGTGCACTTAAACATGAAGACGTCGCGAACGGATGCGTCACGTGATAAACGGGAACATCGTTTAATCCGCATTTTATCGATACGCCACTGTGTCTGGACCAGATGGAAGCTGGTAAACAGTCCGCATCTGCCTATTCCCTTACAATTCCCGCGGAAAATATATATTTTCATATTTGCCTCTCGCAACTGCACATATTCCTCTTCGATCAAATGTTTCTTGGAAGCTCGGTCGCGATCATTTTTCAAAACAACTTTATCTGAACATAATAATAACACTTGTTATTATGCATCAGAGTTGATCTGATGAAGATAAAATACAAAATTATATACAATTATTATATTTTATGATAATACATTATAGTTGTAATCAAATTTAATTGTATAATATAATTATAAAATGATCGATGTTGTTTTATGATAATTCAATAACAAATATATATAATAATATACAATTATTATATAATGCAAAATATTACGGCAAAAAAAAGTTCTGTTCAAATTATAAATCTAATATAAACATGTAAAATAAAGTTTGTATATACAATATTTATACAGGGTTCTCTAAAGAAACGAGAGAGATAATTTAGGCCTGTGCATATAGATACCTAAATTTAGTTCTAGTCGCAATATCCGGCACCACCCACCAAGAAATTCTATTTGGCCTTCCATTCCCATAAAGACTGAATATCGAGCGAACGAAGGAAAATAAAATTGTTTGCGAGCCGACGACAAAGAGCTCGGGGCTTCAATTTCTGCCTCGGATCTTTCGCGTGGCATTTAATTACGCTTCTCGGATGTCGCGAGTATTTGTCTTTTCACTTCGCGGCCGACGAATGGGAAATTTTCAGAATTCGATGGAATTGTAATGTCACCGGTTTGACCTTTAGAGCAGCTTGTCGGGTATTCCGGTACGATATTAATACAATAATTGTGCGAAAATATCAAAGGCTCCGAGCATCGATCACGGTGAATCGTTAAGATTATTATTAACCCCGACAGACATGGGAGTTTTTTTGCTGATAAAATAAGAACGCCCACTCTGAACTTATTTGCACGTTTACCAGAAATGTGTTGGCCATCGATTATGCGCCTTTTTTATAAGACTTTCCGTTCCCTGGGCGCATTTGTTATAATGTTGACCTATATACGCAGAGAGATTTACGATACTTATTCGATTAAACTTCGTAAACTTGATTTTCGACGAAATGGAAATCCATCATGAATTATGCATGGTTTCCTCCCCGTTGACGCCTTGTCGACGTTTATTTGTTTTATTGATAAATATGTATGAATGTGTGTCCCAAATTGGAACGTATTATTATTGATCTTGAAATTATTTCATTGATCCATGTTAATATTTTTTAAACAGACATTCGAAATATTATTCTACTTGTTTGCTTTCTCGCAGATGATAGCGTACCCAAGGAGCGCCAACGCGCGTATATGCGATTTTAATTCGCGTTGAGATTCAAAACCGTTATTAATAAATCTGTTTTATCAATTTTTTCAAACAAGTATATTTCTAACTTTACAGATTTAAAAGTCCTTCTCCATAATTAAAGAATAAATGATAATATAGTTCAATTAACCGATCTTTATGCCAAAAACGGAAAAAAGTTAGAAAATTACGATTTAGTTACCGACTTTTAACGTCGACTCGTAACAATGTTTGCTTTATACATATACGAGTTTTATACTTTGTACATATAAAACAATCTTAATTGGACTAGAGATTATGTGAACAAACATAACGTTGAGAATAATGGAAAACATCATTTTGACAAATAACGTCAGCTTTTTTAATTAAGTTGTTCTATTTGATTAACCAACCAAAAAGAAGAATGTTACTATAATAGACCGACTGAAGAATTTATACGCTTCAAACATTTAAATTTTGTAGCATCAAGTAGACCGTGGTTAATCCATAAGCACTCGTACGATTTCTTTTATGTAAGTGTTCGCGTGGGGATCAAATTAATCCACATGAATGATTTGAATTTATTTACATTTTTTCTATATAAGCAGAATTTTCTATTTTTCTTTATTTTTAAAATAATTATAAAACTGCGAGATACATATGTGTTGGTTTTTCAATATAAAATAATATCTTTTAAGCATTACAAATTAAAAGTACGTATTTCAAAAATATTTTAAGAAATATTTCTACGTAACATACTTTAGTAAGTAAATGTAAAGCACTTTGATGCAGTGCTTATTACGAGCGTGATGCTATATTAATATACTTTAAACTAAAAATAGCTGTGATTAAAATTATTAAGAGCAAGCCCTCACTTTTTTATTGGTAGCAAGTTAGAGTGATATTTTAAAAAAGTAATATTTTTTTCCTAAGATAAGTACCTATTTACTATAAACTTACGTAATATTCATGTAATTTTTCAAACTGATCAACATAATAAACAGTCTTACTAATTAATTATCTTTATTCGTATTTTTGCATCAACGTGTAGGCGCACCTTATTGTTAGTCTTCTATTAAAGTTTACATAGGCTCAAGCATAAACTTTCGCACAATGCATACAATACACAAGAGAATCTATCAATTAAATACTTGGATCTTTTCCTATTGTTTCATATAGAAAGAAAGGATTTGGTTGATTCTCTTGTATGTTATGTGTTATGCATTATGCAAAAAAAATCTGTGCTTGCCGCTTAAATAAGTTGATGTAATTTAATTCGGCTTCTCAATAAGCGTAGATGCACTTTTTCAAATACGTTGCCATAAAGTACATACATGAAATGCGCATATAATATAGAACAAATGTGCGCTTTAAATGTGCATTTACAATCCGCTTTTAATGCGGATTTAAAAGTACTTTTAAAGCGCATTATACGCGCATTGGCGATCCTTGGGTATTACTCCTGTGAACGAGCAGAGACAATGCTACCACATTCGCACGGGGCTGCTTTCCCGGGAAACGGGGATACGTCGATGTGACTTGCGCGGCAACCTTTGACATTTCAGAAGGGCGGGTCGAAGTTTCCTTTTCACCCTCCGAGAGTAGACACGGTATGACCCAACATCCGGCCGAAATATGTACGACGCATAAAAGATCTACGTATTAATTTGCTGCATTACAAATGAGTTTTTGCCACATAAAAGCTTATGACCTTGATGTTTGTCAATCTCCATTTTTTTTTTTTTTTCATATCCCTGATCTTTTCCAGTAGTTAAACGTAATGCATCCTCCTATCCCCCTTAATTGTGTTTTCGTCACAGTGACGATTTATTTTGCAAATAAAAATACACGCAAATCGCGCAAAGTGCTTAAGTACCACGATATAAAAAGTATATAAATGTCTCCTTTGCCATTAGAATTCTCTATAAACGACTTGTATTGCTTCATTGTAATATGAAGATGTTTACATCTAATTGCAGCGTAAAAGAGATTTCTGTTTTGCTTTATTCTTCCTTGAAATCAAATATATAGAAAGCTTCATAGTGTTTGACAAAATAACGATTCCTTTTTAACGAAAAGTAAGAAACAAATTAAAATTTGTATCATATTTTTCATACTTTTTAAAATGTTACTATTAAATAATTAAGAATTATGGTAATTACCCTAAAATTTAATAACAACAAACGCACCTATCAAGATACTTGAAGTAAGATCTGCTCAAAATTAATTCCAAAATATGATTTTGTTATTTATGTATTTATAAATCTTGATTTATTGTTTTACATTTATCATCACTAAAATATTATCTATACTTTTAAGGCAAATGTTAGCTATATTCAATATACTTGTTAAAATAAGGTTTTAATTTTTAGAGAGATGTATTATTCGTGCGTCAAATGTACGGCGTATTATGTATCTATCAAATATTGTATCTTATACATATAGCTATAAAATATAAGAGAACTCATTACAACATGTGCATATGATATAAATTCATTATATACCGAGGATATATTTTATTAAATCATATATATCGTGTGATGTATTCAACAGTTTGCAGAATCAAGAGATCGTTAAAAAAAAATATGCAAAACAATAGATTCAGAGAGCTGGAAAGTTTCATGAGAACAAAGTTCTGGAAATAGGAAGAAAAATTCTGAATACGCGTATACATCCAAGGAATTAAAGATTTAAGTAAAAAAACTGGAAAGTATAAAATCAAGTTAACAACTTATTAGAAAAGTTCTTAAAATAAAAAAAAGTTCATAGAGGCGAAGCTCTACGAAGCAATATTAAGCAAATTTATATTAATCTATAAATTTATAGAGACTTTTGGTCAATGAGAGATAAACGATGAATAATTTTTCGAGATTTTTTTCTTTTCAATTCTAATGCATGGTTAATCTTAAATGCATCTTGTGATTTTACGATTGATTTATTCTCGTCACGTATTTATATTAACCCGTAAGAGAGAGTTCTCGTTTCCAAGCACGGACGCTGTCGGAAAACAAATCGAGCACGTTTCTTGAGTCTCAATTTCTAATTATTGTAGATCATAATATAGTAGTGGACATATGCGGTTTATCATAGTCCATCATGACCATCATTCAGCTGCGCAAACCTAATTGCGTCGCTCGGCACGCGAGATTCTCCGAGGCCACATTATATATATGGCACATCTCCATTAACCGCAATATAACAACAGGCTTCCCAGATCGCATAATTAAACAGACGGAATGAATAATTGAACTACTAAAGTAGTGCTTTTTCTTCAATTAGCTTTCGCTGTAAGCATTTCCATCATTAAAAGTTCATGAGCGATTTTTTCTTGACAAGCAGATATAAAATTATTTCTTTCTTTTATATATTTATTTGTTTTAATAAATAGAACATTTTTTTAATAGAACTTTTTTAAGATAATAGAAAAAAATACAATAGGATATTTGATATAGAAGATAGAAAAAAAAAAAGTGATTAACTCGAACGCAAAGATATATATAGACACACTAAGAAAAATTTCTGGTCGAAATTGGACGAACCAGAAGATTCTGATCACATCACAATTAGAATTCAGGTTATATCAATTGAAATTATAATAGATTCAACTAGAAAATTTTGATTTGTCTATTTTCAATCAGAATTTCAATTAATACAATAAGACTCTTTTTCAGTACACAAGTAGATGGATAAAGAAATAGTTAAGGAAATATTACAAATCCTATTACTCATCTCGTAATCTCGTTATCATCTCTCCATATTAGACTATTATTGAGCTTTCCTGTTGAAAATTGGGACGAGCCTATACTTAATCGATTTTCCAAATGTCTGACGTCATTTATGACGTCTCTTAAAGAGAGAGGGAGATACTAAAAGTTCGCTCTCGTTCAATTGAAGTGACGTCAACATTGTGATGTCCTCCGTTATCGTCAACTGGAGTAAAATAATAACGAGACACGAGCATGGTTATTTATACTGGGCACCACGGGCGCGACATTTTCCACTAAGTGGAGTATTAATCGCAAATGTCAAAACGAGTCCCGAGTGTGAAAAGCAAAAAGCGTGATTCCGCGAATGGAAAACATTTGTTTTCAAAATAATAACAGGGGCGGATTAAAAACGCACGTTAAAAGTAGTAAACTATTTTCTTCAGATAAATCGCTCTAAGTCCGTATTAGCGAAAACAAAATTAAAACTACGACTAATTATAACTAAGAATTGAAGATTTATAAATTCAAAATTACTATTAGTTACAGATTAAAAAAATTCTACAACGAATTTAACTGATAATAAATTAACTTTAAATTATATTTAATAAATTTTTATGAGATAATCTTATTTTACTATAAATACAATTAGTAATAAAAAATGCACAAGATTATTTAACAGAAATTTATACAAATGAAAAATAAGATAAATAAGAATTGAAAATATAATATTAAAATATTCAAAAAAAGCTATCCATAAAAGAATGTGCAATAAAATAAAACACCACATAATTATACATAATGAAAACCAAACTAGTAAAAACTTCCTAAAAATACAATTTGCTAATCACATAAGAATATATTTTCTGAATAATGATGCAAAGGTAGTTTATTCATGCAGCGTTTCTAAATTTAAACAGATGGTTTATCAATTTTATGGAGTTACAGAACCATTAAACAAAT